CACACACACACACACACACACACACACACACAGCAGTCCTCCCGTCCTTGAGGGCAGTTTTTCTTTAATTCATGCTTTCCTGCTGAAAGCGGCCAAACTGCCGGCTGGCTGTCTAAAGCTCGTTCAGCTGACATGCAGTGTCATGTGGTCGTTTTGAGAGTTTCGATTTTTCAAATGGTGTAAAATCAACGGATTAAACTGTTTTTTTCTTGGTGGAATGTCACAATGGGCGGTGCGATCACAAAGTCGTGGCGATGTTGGTAATGTGCGTGCACGGAGCACCTGGCAGCCACTTGCGTGCAACATGTGCAGCAGTCAGCGTCCCCAGTAGGAGGCTGCTGACACTGCAACAGCAGCAGTGGCACCAGTGGTACTTTCTCTGTAGCCACTGACAGGTGCCCATTGGCCATTTCTCTGTGGACATCAAAGTGGAGCAAAGAAGAAAACTTCAGTGTGCATGGGTCAGCTGCCAAGGATGAGCCAGCCTTCACATGGAGGGTTACTAATGGCATGGGGCTGGTCCACAGCTACCAGCACCAGAACAAAGTTTTCTACCATAGGAGAGCCTCACAGTGTCCAAAAACAGGTCAGAAGAGCACCTGGAGCGTCCTCGTTGTTTTCTCCAACATTCATATGGTTTGTAGTGGGAATTAATCCCCCAGGGTCGGACTGTCAGGCCAGAGTTCTACTGTCACGTTCTGAGCTGTGTGAGGGAGAACATTCACACTGCAGACCTGACGTGTGACACGATGGCATGGGCGGCTCCAGTGCACTCACTCACAGCATGGTGACGATGCACCATCGCTTTGGCCCCAACAACACCGAGTCTCTCTGAGAGTCAGCGCCCACTGCAGAACATGCCTGACCTGTTTACATGACGAGATGTCCAGGCAGCGTCGCTGCAACAGCGTCGGGCTGGCTGTGCTGTGGTAAAGGAGACTTCTATTCTATTCTATTCTACACTGACAGGGACGTGGCCGCCGCTGAATTAGGTGCGTTTTTGGATTGTTGAACGCATAGGACTGGAACTTTTTGATCAGACCTCGTATTTGAAAAGTGTGATGATTGTACTGACAGCAGCTGAACAGAGAACAGTTTTAAAAAACAAGCAAGCCTCTAAAGTCATGTTTCATCATGTTAGACTATTAATAGACACTTCTATTCTCTCTTTGAGAAACTTTCTGTGTGTGTCCAATGCCTTGCCTTTGTATGAAGCAGCCTTCAACTGGATGTGGGAGCCCTCTGTGCACTTCTACTCTGTGCTCCCAGGAAACCCATCTCCAGCCTCTGTGCTTGGCTGAATGTGTGCTGGTGCTAGTCTCTTCTGGTATTCTAAAAGCGTGTGAGCCAAATGTGTGATCGCTGCCACTGCAAGAGCAAACAGCCATACACTGTTAAAACTGAGCCAGGAACACACACCCACACACATACACACACACCCACACACACACACACACACACACACACACAGGCATGTCCACACACACTTGTAGACATTCTTCCT